GCGATATTTCAGTGTATCAATATTCTCTTACACCCCTATCTGTGACCGTAGTTTCAACTTTAAAATCCTTTGAAAATAAACTACATTGCTAGAAAGAGATGCTAGGGTTACACAGAGTTTGTTTATTTTTATGCAGTGTTGTACTGAGGGGAAAGAAAGTACCCCATATGGAAAAGTGTCATTAGGGTAGTACTGGGTTGTGAGTAGTTGGTACATAGTATTCACAAGGGAGTCTCCTGAATGTCTCCAGAAATCCTCGCAACTTTTGTGGCATTCTCAGCTTCCTCACGTGAGACTCAAGACACTCCGTCGCTTGAGTTTAAAAAATGTTCYGGACAACGTTTGAGTCACAAAGTCTTTTTGAGTGTCTCCAGTCTTGGAGATTGTGTCGTCATTGTCTACAACCCAGCTCCAGAGCGCTGTGTTTTGGCACCTGCTCGAATGCTCTCCTTTGATGGAAGCACATTAAATCATAAGTGTGGAGGCGCCTGCTGAGGTAGCCCACAAAACAATGTGCACAGCCGAGAGTGCAGTTTTGTAAGCCGCACAGGCAAAAGWAGGCTGGGATTTTCAAAAAACAGGCTGCTCCAAAACACAGCCTCAGGACTTGTTAGGCACTCGGTCGCAAAAACTCAGAGCTCAAATTAGAGCTTCACAATGCTGGAATGTTTTCTAACCCTGCAAYGTATATTGTGATATGAAAAAAAAAACCCAGGAGTTTTCAACAGATGACTTTAATAACACTTTAAGTTCTGCTGCCATCCTGTTGACGATGAACCTGCCATCTTACCTGTTTTTGTCTGTATTACAGATGTATCTGTATTCTTGTTATCTTTTATTGCTGATTTTATTGYGCTGAGACACGTTTCCTTCCATCATGTGCAAACGTGAATTGTGATTTACCGCCTAATGTACTGCCTCTGTGCCAATCTTAGTTTCAGTTTTCGCTGTACTTTAGCATTCATTCAAATCGTATTTTACCTCTTTGTCCTTCAGCTYGCTGAGAATTTGCTCCTCTTCCTCATTTTTGTCAAGATTCTGGTCGACTTCCTTCACAGCTTTAGATATCACTGACATGGTTCTCCAAAAATGTTGCCATTATTGTGCCAGAAGTTTCACAACAAAAGGAAAGTTTTAGCCTTTTTGACACAAACCCACCCGCTTCTGGTGCAGCCGTTTAGTGCAGTGACTTACAGTTTAGTGCAATGACTTACAGTTTAGTGCAGTGACTTACAGTTTAGTGCAATGACTTACAGTTTAGTGCAGTGACTTACAGTTTAGTGCAGTGACTTACAGTTTAGTGCA